CACCTCTTCACTACTACCACTGTTGGTCTCCGTTGTATATTAACCAAACCATCTCAATTTATTCTCCCCCAACTTATCTTCTATCGATACTACTCCTACCCATTCTCGAATATACCCATTCCTAACTCTATCTTTTCTAATATTGCCATACATCCACCTTAGCATCCTCATCTCAGCAACACTCATCTTATTTGTATGTTATTTCTTAGTTGCCCAACATTTCATCACATACAATATCGCTGGTCTAATAGCCGTTCTATAGAACTTTTTTTTTAGTCTAGTGGATACTTGTTTATCGCACAGTACCCTAGATGTACTCCTCCATTAAGCCAACCCGCCTTAATTCTATTTACCACATCCACTGCAATCTCCCCAATCATTTTGATAATTGATACTAAATAACGAAAATGTTTACTCTTAGGTAGTGCTTGGTCCTCAATCTTCACTTCCCTCTACTTCCATTGTCACTATTACTAAAATCACACTACACGTACTCTATCTTAGTTCTACTTATCCTAAAGCCTTTAGATTCAAGTGTTTCTCTCTAAGTCTCTAACTTAGTGTTTAACTCCTCTAGTCTTATCCAATAACACGATATCATCTGCAAAAAACATACACCATAATATTTCTCGTCAACTGTGACGCTCCAAAATTTAAGGACATCATAATAAGATTTAGAACTTAAAATTAATATTGCCACCAATATTACTAACATCCATTAATTAACAACCCAGAATTTAAAGTTCTTACATCACAACTTAGTCTTAGTACATAAAAGAAATGACACAAATATAAAAAGAAAACTAGAAAAAAAAAAAAACTAGAAATTTTAGAAAATGTTTCATGGAACTTGGACACTCTTCAAGCTAACCAAGGCTGAGTGTCGCCTTGCAAAGCCTCGGTATTTCTTTCGGTTTCTTCGGTACCTGGCATAAAACACCAGGGCAACGGGAATGCCAGTGAGCAACGAACTCAATAAGATACTATAACCCAAAAATACCCACCCCGATAATAATACTCACAATTTATGAATAATGTGTAGTAACAGAATAACAAGTAACATTTAGTAAGCATAAAAGGAATGTTATCAGTTGAAATAATAACAGTAGATAATAATAAATCAAAAAAAAAATATATAACAAACGGAAGCAGTATTTCATCATAAGGAATATGTCCATCTTTCTTTTTAAATTTTCATAGATTTAGTTTATCAGATAAATTTAAGTAACTCCCCACAGAACACTATTTCCACTTAACCGCTAAACAATGGCCACGGGCAATTCTAACTCCCCCTTGGTCAAATGTTCAAATGTTACTTACTGTAACTACCAATGATGCCCACGCACTAGGGTTACATACCCGAGTCGTGACATCACGGTCTGCCCCAAAGGAATGGTCTATGTTGTGACACCCGCACCACCAACCTTATATCGCCTACACCGATAAGAGCCGAAATACCTTCCCGTGCCATGTTAGGGTTCGCAACTCACTTGCGGAAGATTTTAAACCGGGCTCACCCCATCACTTTTAAATTTTAATGTATCATTGGTTAAATTTCGTATTTCTTTATTCGTTGAGATATTCACAATAATTCAACATTTAATTACTAATAATGTTATACCAACTCATTAAAATTTTCAACATAAAATATTACATATGTCACACAATAATAAACAAATGTACAAAATTTTAATAAGCAATTTATTTAAACCATGGTATGAAATAATAATGTAGATACCAAAAAGAAGAAATAAAACATAATCACACACATGCATGGATTTTTAATCTACAAGATTAGATTAGCACAATATTAAATTTTTGTCCAAATAAACAATTGAAGAGATAATTTTTGATTCCTCCTTAATCTGCCAGAATTTTCAGAATGCATAACTCGTAATTAAAATTATAAATAAATTAGTTATACAACTCTAAAATTCATATAAATCTACAGAATACTCAATAAACATGTTATGGTCAATTTTCAGAAATCATTTTCCAAAAATAAATTATAAATAATTCTGAAAAATTTCAAGAAAATTTATGACACAGATTTATCACATTTTCTTAAATTAACTCCATACTTAAATTTATAAATCGATTCCATGATCTAAAAATTTATTATGAAACTAGACTTCTCAAATTTTATTTTTTGTTTAGAAATTACCATATTTGGTTTAATATAAAATTTTTAATGATTTTTTAAACACATAGTAAAATCTGCCTATATCTCCAGATTTGGTTAAAAATCTGTATAAATTCGTACAAAATTCCATAATTGTTGAAAAATTTATGGATGAAGTTGACATCATTTTAAACAACTTTGTAGAAGAAATCAACTTCAAATTTTGAGTATAAAATTGTCTAAAAATTCGTACAAATTTTCTGACAGATTCAAGGACCAAATAAATTCTTCAATCCTCTATTTAATGGTATAAACTACACATGCAAGCTTATTTCCACAATAATACCATGACTTTAAGGCTATCAATACGTTTAAATATTTGATATACACATCACAAAATTTACATACATATATATAAAAATTTCTATCTATAAATTAGTCATTTTATCATATGAATATAATCTGAAGATTTTCAACAATTAAAAAAAAAATGAGAGGGTTGAGAGGGTTTTCTTACTTAATAATAGAATGATGAAATGGTAGAAAATTTTAGCTTCCTTAATCTCCCACTCTTCTTCCTCTCCTACCCAACTTAGCTGCTTCACAAATTTCTTTTTTTTTTTTTTTTTCCCTTTCTTCACCGAATGCTTGCATGCATATCTATACACAATGAATGTTTGCATGCATATATATATATATATATACAATGCTTGCAGAGCCCTTTCTCTCTCTCTCTCCCTCTTTTTCTCAGCATTCTCTCTTCATTCTATGAGTTCCATTTCTCTCAATTCCAAGAGTATAATGGGCGCTCCTTCCCTATAATATCATGCAATCCAACATGTGGCAAAGTTGCCATCAAAAATCTACAAAGTTGTTTATTTTATTTTTTTTTGGGGGGGGAGGAGGGGGAGGGGGGTTTCTTAAAATTGATACACCAAGATTTCTAACTAAGGTATTTAGTAAGAATAATTATCATATTGAATCCTAATTAAAATAATTTATAAACAACAAATATTGAACACCCACAAAATTATTATTCTTAATAATATCTTTGTTAGTGATTGAATTGGTTAATTTAAAACTAACTTTTACACTAATATATATTTCAGATAGACTCTAGATAAAATTTATTTATTTATTTATTTTCTTTTAAGAATAATTAAATGTGAGTTTTCACATCAACTCATCCATAACTAACACAAAAAGATAAAGACTTAAGTTTAATACTTGGTGTAACTCTACAATAATTAAAAATTCACTTGTCTCTCAAACCAACGATCTAATAGTAATCACCACTCCTTCATACATATCATTAATCACATTAATGCAACATTTTGTCACTCCTTATTTCTCTAACGCCCACCAAATTATATCCCGAGACACTTTCTCAAGATCGATAAAAACCTATGAATGTCTCTTTTATTTTTTCTATACTTTTTTATTACTCTCCTCAAAAGATAGATCGCTTCCATTGTTGGCCTATCAAGTATAAACCCAAATTAATTCTCTAGCACCTATATTATATTTCACAATCGACGTTCCATTACTCTCTCCCACACTTTCATTATATGACACATTAGTTTGATTCATTTATAATTGTTGAAGTTCTGGACATTTTCTTTATTCTTGTAGATTGGCACTATGATACTCTTCTTCCACTCCTCAGACATTTTTCTAATCAACAAAATCTTGCTAAATAATCTAGTCAACCAAGTCACCCCCTTCTTACCCAAATATTTCCAAGCTTGAATAGGGATACCACTGGATCCTAAAGCATGATTCGATTTCATCTTCATTGGATCCTAAAGCATGATTCGATTTCATCTTTTTAAGTACAATCTCCATTTCAAAGTTCCTAATTGCACAATAAAACCTATAGTCCTAATTTTCCTTATTACTGCCTACTTCCTCTCCTTTTGACCTACCTTTATGTTCCTCATTTAATAACTTCTCAAAATTATTTTTTCACCTCTCCTTAATCTCTTCATCCTTGACCAACACCTTAAAGCCCTCACTCTGGAGTCATTTAACCTGATTAAAGTCTTTTCTGATCATCCACAGTAAGATCACAAAATATTGTTCGCAACCTAAGAATTGTTTAGATAACTATTTAGAACTAGTTTTACCACTATAAAAGAACAAATTTGCAACAATAAAATGTTACAACTAATGTATATATACATTGGATAATGACATATTTGAGTGTTTATGATAAATAATATGTATATATCTAAACAATCCAGTTCACTACCAAACCAAAACCATAACTATAAAATCATGAACCGAACCATAAAATATAGTTTGCCATTAATCAAAACAAAGACCGAACCGTGCATTAAAAAAGCCAAACCAAACCATGCGGTTTGATCTCTCTATTAGTGCATTGCTGATTGCAAGAAAGCTTTCAGCGCAATGGAGTCCCAATGCAAGTTTTCTATCTACTTAGGTTCAGAGAGAGAGAGAGAGAGAGTACCTTGTGCTGCTGTCAGATGAGAAACAGCTCTGAAGGGGGTAGAAACAGTAGCTTGGCTAAACTTACTACTTTTTTTAATGTTCCTTTCTTTGTTTTGTTAAAAAAGGGATGTGTGTTTTTACCGTGCAAGATAGACTACAGGCAGTAATTTGTAAGAGTGGAAAACTCAGGTTGTCTAGATAAGCGAAAAATAGACACAAATTGTTCCAAAATCATTACACATATAGTTATTCTTTTTCACTATATCTACATCAAAAATGTTTGAGAGCTCTCAAAAAGCTTTAAGGGATAAACCCCACTCATTGATGTAATGTTTTGACTTTAGTTTTACTTTTATTTTATTTTTTTGAATTTTAACGCTCCATTAGAACTCTCAAATTAGAGGAATGAATCATTTTTGATATCTACATGGAAGAGCATAACATCTTGAAATATAACCATTAGCAAGGACAAGAATCATCCACAGCGGTTCTCAAATGGATTGACATCCAAAAGCAAGTTCTGTCCACTCGAGAATGAAGAACTAAACATGTTACATACACTAGAAGCCCAGCAAGTTTATGCTGGATCTCCTCTTTTTGGATCTCCCTTTTTCTTTTCCTAACATAATAAACATCTAAAAGAACCAGAATTTTCAAGTCAGACTCAATCAAAGTACACTACCCGTCTGAGGTGGTTTTACAGAAGTTTGATCCTTCCATCTAGATGCCCCTGCATTGAATACTCTATGTAAAACATTCATCCGCTCCACTATCATAGACTCTTTTATATCCTCCAGTTGGGCGTATTCCTTCTCCATTATAAGCTCTAGATCATCAAAATGCTTGATTTTGCGTTGCAACTTCTTCAACTATATATTTATCCATTCATGCAAAGCACAAACATTAAGGCCCATACTTTTGAAATGAAAATTTATTCAAGTAAAGAAAAATTGATGATAATCCAACAGAGAAGTAATCTGTACTTAACAAACTACAAAAACAACAATGTACGATTACCTGTGTTTCGACAATGGTTGCCACTAAACATTCTATTTCCCGGTCTTCCTGATCTGCCAATAGCTTGGCACGCGCAGCAGCAGCACCAAGAGCTGTTGCTGTTGCAGCTCTCATTCGAAAAGTTAAAGGTATAGCATTCTTTTCAGAGGATGTTGCCTGAGAATCTGTAAGAGAAAATAGACATACATAGAAATAGTGATAACTCGCATAATGTAGATAGCATTGATAGCCAAAATAAAGGATGAAGGGTACAAGCAATTGACTCTCAAAGGAAAAATTATTGGGTGCTCTTGGAGTGCCACATGTTCATGCTCTTCACTAATCATTCATACTTTTGTAAGGCAAGAAAATTACAAAAGTATTAAGTAACATATAGAAAACAAATGAAATACATATAATATATATACCTAATTCAGTGGACCTTTCCTCAATCTCTGAACCATCAACCTGGAGGACTCTGAAGTAGTAAAGAAACAAGTAAATCAAAAACTGTATAACTCAATACAAGAGGTAAATAATCATGCTCAAAGCATCAAAGGAAAAACCACTATGCAGCATAGAAAAATAACCTCTGTTTCTTGTTATTTTGGGGGGAAGATCCTAACTCCTCATCTTCATCACCATCACCATAACCATCACCATCAAATATCTCTCTTGTACATTGATTTTCATCACAAAGTGCCGTAACAGCAGCCTCAGCAGCAGAAGCTGCAATATCTGGGTCAACCATAGAAGAGATGAGAGCTACCTGATGGGAAAATGATGTTAGTATTGCGTAAGGACAAGGTGTAAGGGTGAAATTGGAATAATATGATATAATAAATAAACTTCTGTGACAATTTTGTGAATTTCCAAAACTTTTGGCTGTTTGAGACTAGGATGTGTAAAAATTTCCAATAATAAATAGATACATGACTGCTTGTTTTAAAAACGTCCTCAACAACATCCTCCAAGAATAAGGGAAAATAAAATTTTGATAAAAGAATATTCGCAAACGACTGCCTACTTGAAAAACTATCAACAACATTATTTAAGAATAAGGGAAATAAATTTTGATAAAAGAAGTTTGATATTCTCATAGAAAATCTTGCTAAAAAGGTTCTCAAGAACCCAAAAAAATAATGCAAAGATTCCCACCTGTTTCATCAGTGAACTGCCTGTATCTGAAGGCGAAGTAGTGCATGCTCTCTTTAGAGGAGGAACTTGGTTCTCAGTATCTCCATTCTGCTTGCTCTCATTCTTAACACCATGAAATTGATCCTCTGTCCTGATATTCTCTTGAGAATGAGACTCTGGTGAAGCTATTTGTCCTTGTTTGACACTACTCAGGTTGCCATCATTATCCCACAATCTACCACTTCTGTGGGTGGATCCCAACATTAGGTCCCCAAAAGGCAGTTGTATCAGCTTTGAAATACAATCCACTTTACTCTTAGTTTTAACATTTTTGGCCACAAGATCCCAGTCATCTCCGTGCTTCAAGACAGATTCTAAAAGAAGCAAAGTTTCTGCTTCAGTCCAAACAGCTGCATGATTCCCACTGTCTGGAGTGCAGTCAATGAACTTGAAATCATCCACAGACCTGTTCTCCCCATAATTTCCATTCTTAAAGCACTTCACACAAATTATGAAGCTTCCCTCCTGGTGCAAACAAAGTACATACACAATCAATTTTCCAAAGCTGAAAATAAAACTGAAAGAATGCTTCAAAATGAGTAATGCTCCCACTCAAATCTACTACCAAATGCTTATCAATATATTTTTATTGTACATGTGTATCAAAACAATACAATAGAATAATTGACAAAAAAAATCTCTACTGCTTGAAGCTACAAATGACATATTTAAAATATTAATACATGTTCAACAAATTCACTGTGCTCTGAACAAGCAAGCAAACCCCTACTGGTGGTATCTCCAAATCATTGGGCAACTTACCTAGCCAGCATAATCTCGAAAATTCACAGGAACACAGATATAGCAACATTTTATAAATCATGGTAGAATGGTAATGGGATTCTATACTCGAACCAGTTTTGCCAGGAGAATTGTGAATAGACTGGGGAAGACTATTGGAGGAATTAAAGAGCTTTTATCTTATTTTTTCCTGGTGAGGAACTAAGGAGCTGGGAAAGCCTTACAAAATATGTTCTAGATGAAAAATAGAAAATGCAATGGCTATGAAAATGAACAGAAGCTTTATCTTTTGAATACTAATTGTAACTATCACTCACTAGCCATCGGTAATAACAAACAAATGGTGTCAGCCTATGAAGCATGGACACTCCAAAATTGATGCCGTAGCAGTGTCCGACACGGGGACACGCCGGGGACACGCCATGGACACGTACGGGACACGCCAGATGGCGTGTCCCTTTAATTTAATGATTTTTTTGGAAGGGGACACAGCGGGGACACGCGTGTCCATTTCTGGACACGCCATGGGACACGGCGGGGCTCGTTTTTGAATTTTTTATATTTATTTGGGGTCAAAGTATAATATTTATAAAGTAAAAAAAAAAAAAAAAAAAACAGGAACCCTAATCAAACAAGTGAGAGTAAAGGAGTGAAATCAAACCTGAAAAAGACTCTCTCTCTCTCAGTCGAAGCCCTCTCTCTCAGTCGAAGCCTCTGAAGTTGATCGAAGCTCTGTCTCTCACTCGCAGCCCTCCGACGTCGATCGCAGCCCTCTGACGTCGATTGAAGCCCTCCGACGTCGATCGAAGACCAGTGATCCAGTCGTCTCAGTCGCTGCTTCAGTCGATCCAGTCGTCTTCGAAGGTAAGCCCCTCTCTGCGTCTCTCGCTCTCTCTTTCGCCTCTGTCTCCTCTTTCGCGCTCTCTCTCTCTCTCAGCTTTCGACTGAGATGGATTGATTTTTATTTATTTTTATTTTTTTTTACGTTTATATATGTTATATGTAATAGACTCTTTTTTTTATTTATTTTTTATTTTGATATATATTAATAAGACTCTTTTTTTTCTTTTTTTTTTGATATATATTATATGTAAGACTCTTTTTTATTTTTATTTTTATTTGTTTATATGTTTATATATATATATATATGTAAGAACTTTTTTTTTTTAATTATATGTTTATATATATGTATATATTTAAAACTGTATTTAAATTCTATCTTTTTTATTTAAACTCTTTATTTAGATGAGACTGTTTTTTTTAATTATATGTTTAAATTCTGTTTTATTTAAATTCTATTTAAGCTCTTTTTTTGTTTTTTTATTTATCCTTCTAATGTTAATGTTAATTTATAGGAAAAATGTCTAGTTCAAATTCTGCCAATAACACACCATCTGGCTTTGATGCTAAAGATGATAAGCCACTGTGGAAATATGTGACTAGATTAGAAAAATCTGGTGCAAAGGGGGGGAATTATACTTTTCAATGTAACTTTTGTCGGGTTACACGTAAAGGTTCATACACTAGGGTAAAAGCCCATTTGATGCAAATTAAAAATCAGGGGATAGAAGTGTGTCCAAAAGTAACAAGTAAGGATAAAGCAGATTTTGAGAGAGCAATTGCAGAAGCAGAGTTGAAATTGAAAAACTCTAGGTTGAAGAAAGTCCCATTGCCTCCTCCCAGTTCAAGTGCATCATTAGGTTTATGTTTTAATGAACCAGAGGAGATATATGGATCAAAAAGGAAGAGGTCAACTGCTTTAGGGAGTGGAAGTAGTAGTAACCCTGTTATGAAAGCATTTAACATTGGGGCTCGAGAACGACTAAATAGTGAGATAGCTAGAATGTTTTATTCAGCAGGCTTGCCATTTCATTTGGCAAGAAATCCTTACTATGTTAGTGCATTTACTTTTGCTGCAAATAACAACATACAAGGATATGTACCACCTGGGTATAACATGTTGAGAACTACATTGCTTCAAAAAGAAAGGATAAACATTGATAGGTTGTTAGATCCTATTCGAGGCTCATGGAAAGAGAATGGGGTGAGTATAGTCAGTGATGGATGGAGTGATTCCCAACGAAGGCCATTAATAAATTTTATGGCTGTTACCGGAGGTGGGCCTATGTTTCTTAAAGCGGTTGATTGTTCAGGGGAAACAAAGGACAAATATTTTATTTCCAACTTGATGAAGGAAGTAATTATGGAGGTTGGGCCTAAAAATGTGGTTCAAGTCATTACAGATAATCTTTGGCTTTAAGGCTACTTGTGCAACCTTCTTCTTCATCATGTGCTGAGAGGAATTGGAGTATATACTCTTTTATCCATTCAATGAGAAGAAACAAGATGACACCCCAACGTGCAGAGGACTTGGTTTTTGTTCATAGCAACCTCCGTCTTTTATCAAGGAGAACCCCACAATACCATGAAGGAGAGACCAAGTTATGGGATATTGCGGGCGACACATTTGATTCATTTGATGATGTTGGAATGCTTGAGGTTGCAAATCTGTCACTTGATGAACCTGAGATGGAGGTTGTGTTGTTTACAGATGATGGAGGTGCAAACGAAGAAAAAGGTGGTGATGCTAATGATGATGAAGACGTACAAGAAATTGGATCTACTTGAAGTTTTGAAAGGCCTACTTCTTTTCTTTTCTTTTCTTTGCTTTTTCCTTCTTCTTTGCCTCTTATTTAGTGCTTTTGTGACAAATATTGTTGGATGTTGGATGTTTTCCCCTTATATTTATTTCAAGATGTTGGATGTTGAATCTTTTGCCTCTCTTATATTTATTGAATTAATGGTACTATATTAGTGTTTGTTAATTTTGATTTAGAATGAATGTAATACAAATCTACATAACACATAAAAATATATATATATATATAAATCGCCGTGTCCCCTGCCGTGTCCGTGTCCCCATTTTTTGGAAATTGCCGTGTCCCGTGTCCGTATCCGTGTCCGTGTCAGTGTCCGTGCTTCATAGGTTAGGTTTCTCAATAAATATATATCTGGCGGTGTCGGATACGGGGACACGCCGGGGACACAGCATCTGGCGTGTCCCCTTAATTTAATTTATTTTTTTGCAGGGGACACGCGTGTCCAAATCTGGACACGCCATGGACACGGCAAGAAGAGTAAATGAAAGGGAAAACGAGTACAAACCTAGTCGGCGACGATCCAGAGCCCTTCGACTTTGACTTTGACTTCGACGATCCAGAGCCCCATTCGACTTCGACGATCTAGAGCCCCCTTCGACTTCGACGATCCAGAGCCCTTCGACTTCGACGAGCTCTCGCCTTCGCCTTCTCAGAGCTTCTCTCTCTCTCTCGCCTTCTCTCTCTCCCTCGTGATCGCTCTCACTTCTATCTCCCTCTCTCTCGTTTCTGTCTTCCTCTCTCTCGCTTCTCTCCCGTCTTTATCTTCTTGTCTTGATGCATATATAATATATATAACTATTATATAATAATAATAATAATAATAGTTATTATATAACATAAATATACTTATAAGATAATATATACTTATACATATTAATAAATAAAAAAATAAACACATGTATATAAAAAATAAATAAATAATTTAATTGGAACACATTATTTAAAAAATATAATAAATAAATAAAATAATTAATATGTATTAAAATAAAAATATTTATAAAAAAATTAAAAAATTTGCCGTGTCCCTTGCCGTGTCCGTGTCTCTATTTTTTAGAAATTGCTGTGTCCGTGTCCGTGTCCGTATGCGTGTCCGTGTCCGTGTCCGTGCTTCATAGGTGTCAGCAAACAACTGAACCCTAGTTAAAAAATAAATAAAATAAAATAAAATAAAAAGAGTATATAATGCATTAATTTATTACTGAAGCAGTCGAGACAGCCTTTTTGCTCTCTATTCTATCCTAATCAAATCCCAGGCTGAAGGTCAATCATACATGAGCACTTTTTCTGAAAAATACTGGTGATGGAGCTTTTGTCCAGTTAAAACCCCATGATATTCCACATGGGAGGATACACCAATACTTATAGGAGGTCCTTAGTAAGAAGAAGCAACAACTTTTCTCACAACATAATGCTGCCAGAGGAAAGACAAAAAAAGGTCTATATTCTTTGGATCTAACTATATAACTCTTACCATTGCAGTGTGTTAAATGTTTAATGAGTAAAATATTGCAATTAAATTGACTTCATATTAAAGAAAATAATCTATATCTTTTTTCTATGAAGCATTATGAAATTTAAATAAAAAAAAAAAAAACTAAATCATAATATGTCCACAAACACGCATGTATGGTCTCGAGGAGTTCCCAAGCCAAGTTTATGTCAGTACTATGCTCCACACCCACACCATGGGAACAAATTGGAGCATAAATCTCATTATTTATCTGATATCTCCCATATGTAGTTTCTACTTGTAAGAAAAACTATATTTTTCTGTTTCTTCAGCCACAGACTTTCCATGAAGAGGTTGAATCATAAAAGTACATCAAGAATTTAAGATTCCTGTCCTTTTCAATCTGCTATATAAATTTGGCATATGCTTTTATGATTCAAACAAGTAGTTGATATCATTGATCACATAAGCAAGTAGAGAAAAGACAGGATATGGGCTAGGTTGAAATTAAATACAACTAGCCTTCCAATGTCAATAGATAAAATTAATCTTATGCATAATTGTCATCAGCATAGAAAATCAATAATCCATATGAGGACCAAATAGAACCAAGCCAAAACCTGTAAGTACATTTCTCGAGCATATACTAAACTGAAAATCTCTTGCAGCTCCGCGTCTGTATTGTAAATATGCAATTACAAATAATCCAGTCTAAAGCATCAAACAAGGAATTCTACAATGGACTAGTCCAAAGACCACTTGAAAAAAAAAAAAAAAAAAGAGAGGAGAAGAAGAACAAGAAGATAAACGAGACAATAAAAGTCCAAAACACTCTAAGGGACTTCCAAAAGACTCTAAGGGACTTCCAAAAGACTTTCTCATTGTCATATTTGACAAATGCAACAAAGTCAATGTGTTGCATGTTCCTCTCCATGCTTACCTGTCTCTCCCAGACCAACAACAGCGCACCTTAACTCTAGAGAGAACAACATTAGTCAAACTATACACAGAATATGTTTAGGCAACCAAGTAGCTTGGTTAATGGTTAATTAATTACAGCTAAGTCTCACCAAGAAAGTCTTTTAGGGCAAGAAAACAGCATGGATAGACAGCATAGAACATTACTTTGTTAGAACATTCAGTTCACTATTTCTCTACAACTACAAGTTAGACATTCAATGCAATGGAAAATCAAATTGGCCATTACCAATTTGAGAAACAGATATAAGATGCAACATGAGAATGAGTAATGCAGATGCAATCCCAAAAAGCACTCTTTAATTGTTGGACATATCATAAAAGAAAGCACTTCTTGGGAGAAATTTTTAAAAAAAATAAAAAATAAAATTAAAGAAAATATAGATAAAAAAAGCAAGAAAAGGAGTTAGTTTTCCTACAACTATTGTACAGAACTTTGAACTTGGCTACCAACTTTTCATGATCCTTTATCCCGTAAAAGCACAAGAAAGGATTAGGAGGCAAATGTTACTTCATAGGGGAGTACCCATGTCGACAGATGAATATGAGTATGGGATCTCTGTCAGACACAGCACCCCCTCCATCTCACACAGCCGAATTGAATAGAGACGATGAGATAGAAAGAGTAAGGGGTTGGGCATATACTGTCCTCGAAAATGCTCAATCTCGCCAGCGATGAGGGCTTTGATTGTAGTCTTTGTTGTAGTTTTGCTCTCCCTCTGCTGCTTGTCATCATCGTTCAGCCAGATCGAGCCCTCTTTGTGATCAACAAAACAGATTGCAGCCCAACACTCCCTCTCCCCATCGTCATTTGCCAGATTGAAGCTTAAACTGACCACTCATGGATTGCGGCCCCTCTGCTCTCTTTATACCTCCAAAAGAGGTGAGATTTGAAATTTTTTTAAAGGTAAACTACCAATAGGTCCTAATAGTTAAACTTAATTCTCACAAAGTCTTATTGAAAATAAGTCTTGGCAAAATTGTCATTAAAAATATTTTTTTTGTCATAATTTTTTACATACGTCGCTAAAAACTGACAATTAGTGACTTTTTTTTGTCATGATTACTATAAATTGTCACTAAAACTTACAATTAGTGACTTTTTTTATGACAAATGTTTCCCATAGGACCTATTAGACAATAAGTCCACTTATTAGGACCTACATGTAAGTATCCCTTTTTTTTTATGGAGAGATTTAAAAGGTTACAGAATTGTTGTATTGGAAGAAGAAAGAACTATGTAAAGAGGGTTACTCAAGTGTGGGTTGTATATAAGCCAGTCCCATTTTCTAGCTATAACGATGTGTCATGTGTTTTATTATGAATTTGACTTTAAAAATTGTAATAAAACTGTTGGTTACTGCCCCACCATATCATATCTCTTTTTGCCAGATATTCAGTTCGATATGGAACGTCTTTTTTTTATTTTTTTGGTGAGTACTACCAAAAATTACCAATTTTGCATAAATATACAACTTAAAGTTTTCTTAAAAGTTGTGCTTGCCTCTACATCCATATATGCACCAAAAGAGAATTGCAATCACATAAGTCCCTTAAAAATTGTGCCAAATGTCATATACAAATTCCCTTATTAATTGACCAAATAACATTAATTAACACTTTCAATAAAAATCTAGAAAGGCCATTCCAAATTTAAAACTAATGGCCTAATATAGAGTTACAAGCTTATTTTACCTTAGTTTCTTTCAATATTTAATTTCGTGTGTTGGAAAATATGGTTGTTCAATGTTATATCGGTTGTGTCCCGATATCCGTATCATCTTTTTAGACACGTTTTAGCCGAGTCCCCATATCTTATAATTAAGAGAATATGTGAATCCGACTTCTGGACACATACCCGAATCTGATGCCCACAACCAAGTTTAGGTAACATAGGATGGAACCCACACTTTCCTACAACAAGCACAAAAAATATGAAAGAAAATAGTTTTTTTCCCCTTTTCTCTCTTTCCTTGTCAATTACATTCAGGATAGCAGCTGGCAGAGAATTTAAAAAATAAGGATCTATGTAAAAACACACAAAACCTAGCATTAACATTTTGACTCAAATATTCACAATATTTCCTTTATATCTATAGTTTCAGAGACCTCTTATCCTTCTTTTTTCTTTCTTTCTTTCTATTTCCTATGAGACCTTGCTATATTTCTCTAATTGGCGCAATCCCCAGCAGTTCATAATTTCCTTTCAATATTCACAAGCAATATCAAAACCAAGCAATGTGCGCAGCAAATACCTGATTTCTAATTTGTGATTCTTACATTTATTGATATTGTACTCCATCCAACATTCAATGGCCATGGAATTATCTCCGGTAAGTTAGATACAACGTATATCACAATAAGCATTCGAAAAAATCATTGAAGCGAACTCAACAAAATGGGAAAAGCATGATACCTTTTTGCATTCATAATGTCCTGACTCGCAACGATCTTTGCAATTCATACATAGCGTCTCCTTCTGCTCGCTGTACACATCTCTATAAGACGCCAGGGGAGCCAATTTGAATCCATTCTCCACCACTTCACCACCATTATCACTCCCACTCGGCGGCACCGTAACAGGCTTCAACGAATTCGGAACCGCCACGACACGGACTCCATTAGGAGCCCCCTCCTCAACCCTAACCCTCCACCTCCCCTGACTCTCCTCTTCTCCCAAATCCTCCTCACTCGCAGGTGCACCAAAATTAATCAAGCCCCACTTCTCCAGAAACAAGAACACCTTGTGAAGCAAACCGATGTCGCCGACAAGCGATTTACGCACCTCCGAGAAGGTAAGCCGTCTGGAAGGATCTTCTCTGTACTTGGAGATAATGAAATCTCTGTACTCTTTGTAGATTTTGGGTGTTCTGGTGATTGAACTTCCATCGAAGAAATCTCGTAGATGGAGTTTCTCGGTTTCGTGAACGTCGTCCCAGGAGAACCAGCCTGTAGAGAGAGAGAGAGAGAGAATTAGGGTTAGGGTTAGGGTTAGAGAGAAATTGAGAGAGAGAGAGAGAGAGAGACTTACTGGAGTGGGTAGGGATGGTGTAAAGGTCGAGCTGGGATTCGTCGGCGGGAACTGGGTGTTTTAAACTGGGGTTTTGTGAGCTCTCCATTTTCCCAGACCAGAGGCAAGACCGAGTTGAACTCGAGTCGAGTCAGTTGAGCACCAGCGGTCTCTCCCCCTCTCTCTCTCTCTCAATCTCTCTGTCTCCCTGTAACCCTTCTATAGGCTCTATTTAGTAGAGCTGTCTAAAGTGATTATAATTTATAATTTAACAATTTATAATTGTAAATATAAGTTAATTTTTGACTTATAAATTAAATTTTTTTTTCTCACTCAAAGAATAAGTTAATTTTTGACTTGCAAAAAGTTATAAGCTGTACTGTTAAGCTGAACCAAACACATCAAAATAGCTTAAATTAAGCTAAAAGCTGAAATAAGCTGGAAATAAGCATTACCAAACAGGGCCAATTTTATGTCAACAACTAGTAGATTTATGTAGGTAAGAAGTAAACTTTCATAGGCATGCTGCATGCATACTGCATAGTAGGAACAATTATTGCTCTCTAGTGTCAACATGTCAGATACATGTCCAACATTTACTTCACTCATTTAAAAGATATCATGCAACACAAGCATTTGTGGAAACAGATACAGAACCCTCCTAAGCAGCCAACAAGAAAGTGCAAATATACAAAGCAAGCAATTTAATCAAACAATACAATGCTCACAAAGTCATAAAAAAAATATATAAAATAATGGCACTCAGCCACCTACCTGAAAACCATAGGACAATAATCTCTCCACTTAAAATCCTCCGATTGATGAGGCAGCGTATATCGGGACCCTTCTTTAGGAAAATTCATCCAAAAGCTTGCTTGTGGACCAAAATCTGAAGTCCGTACTTCTCGCATTTGAATAGGTGTAATTTTCCCCACAGTATATCTGATCATAATCTAGTGCATGTTTAGTATCTTGTCTATTCAGCAGAATATGAGATTAAAATCCCAAAATGTTTAGATTTCTGCTGCAACATGATACTTTCAAGCAACCTTCACAGAAAAGGTTAAAAGAAAACCATGACATCCAAATTATAAATAGCTATAAATAAATAATAAAAATCTGCAAAATTCTTTACACACTGTATAAGTTAAATGTTTGTGATGGGACAACGGGATGAATTACAATGACTTCCAGCTGAGATAAAAGTAACTCAAAACAAATTAAAAGAAATAAATGTCAAATTTTGGAAACTTCTATTATGCTAACAATTACAAGGATAATTACAACTCAATGAATCTTAAGGGTTTGTTTGGGAAGTCACTTTCCTAGTGAGCTTTTGGCTAAAATATGAGATAAAAAAATTAAAGTGTTTGGGAATGACTTTTTGGATTTTTACGGAAAAACATGCAAAAAGTAGAGAGAATGGAAATGGATCTTACTTTTTTGTATGATTTTTTGGCCTTTTTTTTTGTAGCTTTTTGACTTTTTGGCTATATTAGCCTCTTCCCAAACACCCTCCAAATCATACAAACACAGCACAAACTACAAGTAACTGCAGACATTTGAACTTACAGTGAGGTATGCCAAGAGCATCCGGTGATATAGGACTATATAGAAAATTGGAATCAAGTAACAACAGGGAAAGGCCCAAGGCGTAATATCTACAGGGAAACCAGAACTACTAAGCCATCATATTGAATAGTTTTAGCAATAATACTTTTAGGCGTAATAAGGAGGCAAGCCAAGCCTCACTTCTCAATTTTGATGTAACTATGATGTGGTTCTGTATTTCTTGATTAAGGCATAATAGTTCTAATTTAGTATTTCATAATTCCCAGACATACAAAATGGTTATGGATTGCACCCTTGTTGAATACTCACCAGGGGGAATTCTTATACAACTTGTCCCTAACCATGATGAGATCGACTCCTGAAACCTAGGCCTCCAATGATTTAAACCCTAGGTGACATGGAGCTCTCAGCTCAAATCTATATTTTCTACAGCAAATACCTTCTCCCCAGACCAAGAAGCCAAAACTTATGCATAAACCCCACAAAATGACTAAAACTCCAAAACCCCCGAGAATTTTAACTTTAATACAAAATAACTGCAAAAACCCTAATATACCCAACTTAGACATGGGCTGAACCAAACTAGGACTAAGTAAACATAAAAAAAAAAATTATCCCTAGCCTTACTAACAACAAAACATCCCAAAAGACTAACTTGTTATTACTGTATCACAATGGCTTAATGAGCATCATAATGGCCCCGTTTGGTATTGCTGTGGAAAAGTAATTATAACTTATAGCCTAACAGTTTATAGCTTATAGCTGTGAACATAAGCTGATTTTTGACTTATAAATTAAGCTTCTCCTCCCCCACTCAAAGAACAAGTCGATTTTTGACTTACAAAAAGCTATAAGTTGTGCTGTTAAGCTGAACCAAACACATCAAAATAGCTTAAATTAAGCTAAAAGCTGAAATAAGCTGGAAATAAGCATTACCAAACAGGGCCAATTTTATGTCAACAACTAGTAGATTTATGTAGGTAAGAAGTAAACTTTCATAGGCATGCTGCATGCATACTGCATAGTAGGAACAATTATTGCTCTCTAGTGTCAACATGTCAGATACATGTCCAACATTTACTTCACTCATTTAAAAGATATCATGCAACACAAGCATTTGTGGAAACAGATACAGAACCCTCCTAAGCAGCCAACAAGAAAGTGCAAATATACAAAGCAAGCAATTTAATCAAACAATACAATGCTCACAAAGTCATAAAAAAAATATATAAAATAATGGCACTCAGCCACCTACCTGAAAACCATAGGACAATAATCTCTCCACTTAAAATCCTCCGATTGATGAGGCAGCGTATATCGGGACCCTTCTTTAGGAAAATTCATCCAAAAGCTTGCTTGTGGACCAAAATCTGAAGTCCGTACTTCTCGCATTTGAATAGGTGTAATTTTCCCCACAGTATATCTGATCATAATCTAGTGCATGTTTAGTATCTTGTCTATTCAGCAGAATATGAGATTAAAATCCCAAAATGTTTAGATTTCTGCTGCAACATGATACTTTCAAGCAACCTTCACAGAAAAGGTTAAAAGAAAACCATGACATCCAAATTATAAATAGCTATAAATAAATAATAAAAATCTGCAAAATTCTTTACACACTGTATAAGTTAAATGTTTGTGATGGGACAACGGGATGAATTACAATGACTTCCAGCAAAAAAAAAAAAAAAAAAGGAGCTCACAGCATAGACGGATGAATTATATATGAAGAGGATATTAAAGTGCATTTTGTTCATACTTTTGCACTAGAGCACCTAGTAGAACACCATCATTTGGTTGCTGAGGTACTAGGGAGTTGGTCTTGGTGTTCTTGGAGTGGTTTAAGCTCAGAGAAGGGTGCTGGAGTAGTGTTCTTGAAGGTGTTCTTCAAGGGTGAGTTTCTACCTTTTAATATCCCATTCTTGCTTAAGCTTTTGACCATACTTGCATGTTGTTTTAAGCTTAACTATAAACTACAAAAAGTTCTGTTTTTGTGTGCTTAAGATAATTGTTTAAGGTCACTTTTTGGTTAGGGGTTGTCTACCCCCTCTTAGGCCTTATTTGGCCTTGTTTTAAGCCACATCCTTTTGGCTTTTGTTCTTGTCTTTGCATGACCTTTCTACCACTGAAATCCAGAGGATTTTCAGTGGTGGAAAGGTATTTTTGAGGTCTTAAATAGGAGAGGGACACCCCTCTCTCCTTGTGTCTCATTTGCTTGTATATTTGGCTCATAATGGTAGCATGTTTGCTTAGTATGTTTTGGCTTCATTTCAGCAAGTATTTGGTGTTATTTGGCCATGATATACCTCTGTTTTAATTTGGTTTGATAGCCTCTTGCATGCATCATACACTTGTCTTGCAATCCTCTCATTTGCCTTAACATGCACCATGCATTTGGACCATCATGCTTGCATATTTTGGCTCAACTCAAAGGAACTGTTAGCCATGTTTTGCCATGTTTAAGCTCTGTTTGGTGTTGTTTTGATCATATATGCAATGCTTTGTATAACTACCATACATTCTAGCTTGTTAGCCTTGAGGGTCCAAGTCATTAGCATGCACTACTTGGACCTTTTTCATGATTTGGTATCATCTCATATGTGATTTCAGTCCATGTAGTGCAGCCTTATACTTGCATTTGTCATCCTTTCAAAGCTTTGAAGAGTTTGTGTCTTATGCCTTAAGGTTGGGTCATTGTGCATGCCTCCATGATTAGGTCTTCGGGATGCTATCTAAGTGGTTTTTTAGGCCTATTTTGACATGTCATGTCTCTGTTTTTCATTGGTTAAGTCATGCCATGTTTGGTTATAATGGGTGTAGTGTAATCCCGTTTGTTGGCCTTACTTGCATCTTGCCTTCAGCCCTTCATCTTGGCTTGTTTTAGCTCTGGCCCTTGCATGTTTTAGACTCCCTTTAGCATGATCTAGGACTGTTTTGGTTGTCCTCAGCTCTTTGGAGCTTGTTTCATGTGGCCTTAGTACAAGCTCCTTGGCTAGCCTTAAGCCTTGAGCTTTCTTGCATGTTATGCTTGACTTGTATGCATGATTTGGCATCATCCTTGACATCATTTCAGAGCACGTAGTGTTGTCACGCTTGCATGCTTTTCACTCTTTGAGTGCTTTCGAGAGTTGTCCTCTTTGTGCCTAAGTGATAGACCAATATGTGTACATGTTTGTTTTGCATGTTGGTGCCTTAGTTTTAGTGTTTTGGCCACTGATTTGGGCATGGCTGAGGTCTGCCCATTTCAGTTTAAGTCCATCTTGCATGATCCTTGCATATTGTTGCATGCTTGTTCCATTTCATCGTTATTGCATACTTGGTACATTACATTTTGCATGCTTCGTACATTGCATATTTGCATGTTTAGGTTGAATAGTATTGTTGCATACTCGTTGCATGCCATGTTGTTTGCATGTTAGATTGCGTTGTATTACCTTTGGCAGGCTCATGTTGCATACATTGCATTGTGTTTAGTTTGGGGTGTAAAACCAAACACAAGGATCAAGGGACGTTCGTACTTGAAGTGACGAAACGTGCCTCAATCCTCGGTCGCCGACACTCTTGATCCAACATGATAGAGTTCTAGGCATTCATGTGTTTTTGTGTATTCATTCCATATTGAATCGCACACTTGGCTCCTTTGGCCATCACGCA